GCCCCACTGCAGACTCTTCACATGGACGTGTGGGGCCCAGCCCGCGTCCGTGGACAGGGTCACGAGCGTTACTTCCTGCTGGTCGTTGACGACTACTCGCGTTACACCACAGTCTTCCCCTTGCGCCGCAAGGGTGAGGTCACTGAGGTGTTGATCGACTGGATCCGCGCTGCTCGTCTCCAGCTCAGGAAGAGCTTCGGCTCGGACTTTCCTGTTGTGCGTCTGCACTCCGACAGAGGTGGTGAGTTTTCCTCCGCCCTTCTGCAGGCCTACTGTCGGGCGGAGGGCATCCCCCAGACGTTCACGCTTCCGGCCTCTCCACAGCAAAATGGGATTGCCGAGCGCCGCATTGGCATGGTCATGGATGTCGCTCGTACGTCCATGATCCATGCGGCTGCTCCCCACTTTCTGTGGCCGTTCGCGGTTCAGTACGCGGCGCATCAGATCAACCTCCAGCCCCGGGTCTCCATGCCGGAGACCACCCCCACTCTGCGGTGGACGGGGAAGGTTGGCGATGCGTCTGTGTTCCGTGTCTGGGGATCTCGGGCTTTCGTCCGCGACTTGTCTGCGGACAAGCTGTCCTCTCGTGCCGTTCCCTGCGCCTTCCTTGGCTTTCCCCCTGTCGCGCCTGGTTGGCAGTTCTACCACCCCACCTCGCGCCGTGTTCTGTCCTCTCAAGACGTCACGTTTGACGAGTCGGTTCCCTACTACCGTCTCTTCCCCTACCGAGCTGCCCCCCTCCCCCCCCCGCCGCTCTTCCTCGCGCCAGGTCCTCCCCAGGTAGACCCCCTTCCCCCTCAGGGTCCTGCCCCCTCAGGTGTGTCCCAAGTAGACGCAGTCGAGCCTGTCGAGGTAGCTGTTGACTCTGGTGCTGCTAGGGGTGCTGAGCCTGCGGGTGCTGGGTCTGGGGGTGCTGAGCCGGCGGGTGCTGGGTCTGGAAGTGCTGAGCCTGAGCGTGTTGAGCCTGGGGTTGCTGAGTCTGGGGGTGCTGAGACTGGAGGTCCTCCGAGTGTCCCGTTGCGGCGGGAGCCCCTCTCTCCACTGCAGCTTCGTGAGTGGTACGCTAGGCGCTGTAGCCGTGCTGCTGGAGCTGAGGGGCCTGCTGCTGGAGGTGCTGCTGGTGCTGGAGCTGCTGGAGGTGCTGCTGGTGCTGGAGCTGCTGGAGCCGCTGGTTCGGGGGGTGCTCGTACTGGTGCTGCTGAGGGAGTTGGAGCTGGAGGTGCTGGTGCTGCTGGAGGTGCTGCTGGTGCTGGAGCTGCTGGAGCCGCTGGTTCTGGAGGTGCTCGTACTGGTGCTGCTGAGGGAGTTGGAGCTGGAGGTGCTGGTGCTACTGGAGGTCTTCCTGGTGCTGGAGCTGCTGGAGCCGCTGGTTCTGGAGGTGCTCGTACTGGTGTTGCTGCGGGAGTTGGAGCTGGAGGTGCTGTTGCTGCTGGTTCTGGAGGTGGTCGTCCTGGTGCTGCTGAGGGAGTTGGAGCTGGAGCTACTGGAGCTGCTGGTGGTGCTGCGGGAGTTGTGGCTGGAGACCCTGGCGCTGAGGGTCCTGGTGATGTCTCTGCTGGTTCAGGAGGCGCTACGCGGCCGCGGCCGTACTACGTTCCGCTTCTTCAGCAGGTTCTTGGCCTCCCGCCCTCTACTGGTCCTACTCCTCCCCTACTGAGTCCACCGCCTGTCCAGTCGCAGTCACAGTTACAGCCAGCCTCTCCGCTGCCTGGTCCTTCTCCTTACACTGCGCCGACGGGTAGTCTTACGGAGCGTCGTGAGCCTGAGTCTCGTCCTCCGTCGCCTGAGTCGCGTCCAGAGTCGCCTGTCCGCGCTGTCCGCGCTAGTCGTCGTGCTCCGCGTCAGCGTCCTCCTCCTGTCCCTGGCACTCACTATATGGTTCTGCGTCCGTCCACTGCTCCACAGCGTGTCCCTCTGCCGTCTCCTCCTGCGTCTTCTCTTCCTGACGTTGCTGACCCGCCGTCAGACCTTGCTCGTGCTGCCAGTCCTACTGTCACCCGTCTTCTAGCTACTGCTGTCACTGACCCTTCGTTTGGGTCCACTGCTGCGTCTGCTCTAGTTGCTGATCTTGTTGACTTTGCTGCTGCCTGTCGTCTAGACTACGCCGCTAGCCTTGTTGCTGAGTCTGAGTCTGTCTGTCCTCCGTCCGTCGGGGGTGAGTGTGCTCTTGGCACGGATGTCCTTGAGGACAGACAGGAGGAGTTTGAGTGCTTTGCCGCTGCTTTACCTCATCTCGTGTCCATGCTGATTGCCCCTGAGGGAGACCCGGATGCACCAGACATCCCGACCCCGCGCTCTTACGCAGAGGCGATAGAGGGTCCCTACTCCTCTCAGTGGCAGTCAGCCATGGACGCAGAGATGGCTTTTTGGAAGTCCACAGGCACCTACGTCGACGAGGTTCCCCCGCCTGGGGCGAACATCGTCAGTGGCATGTGGATTTTCAGGGTGAAGCGGCCGCCGGGTTCTCCGCCTGTCTTCAAGGCGCGTTACGTTGCACGAGGCTTCAGTCAGCGAGAGGGAGTTGACTTCTTTTAGACCTTCTCCCCTACCCCGAAGATGACCACTCTTCGGGTTCTGCTGCACGTCGCCGCTCAGCGTGACTACGAGCTCCACTCTCTTGACTTCAGCACTGCTTTCCTACAGGGCAGCCTGCACGACGAGATCTGGCTGCGCCGCCCACCTGGCTTCACTGGGTCTTTTCCTGCTGGTACCCAGTGGAGCCTCCGGCGGCCAGTCTACGGTCTCCGCCAGGCACCCCGTGAGTGGCACGACACACTGAGGACGACTCTTGCTGCTCTTGGGTTTGCTCCTTCTACTGCTGACCCGTCGCTGTTTCTGCGCACCGACACCACTCTGCCGCCATTCTACGTTCTCGTCTACGTAGACGACCTGGTCTTTGCTACTGCTGACACTGAGGCACTCGCCCACGTGAAGTCGGAGCTGCAGAAGAGACACACGTGCACAGACCTGGGTGAACTGACAAGCTATCTTGGCTTGCGGATCACCCGGGACAGAGCACAGCGCACCATTACCTTGACTCAGTCACACATGGTGCAGCAGGTCCTTCAGCGCTTCCGCTTCACGTACTCCTCGCCACAGGCCACTCCTCTGCCTACGCGCCACTCGCTCTTAGCTCTGCCTTCGGATGAGTCCGTAGAGCCGAGTGGCCCGTATCCAGAGCTTGTGGGCTGCCTCATGTACCTGATGACCTGCACTCGACCTGACCTTGCATACCCTCTTAGCATTCTCGCACGCTATGTTGCTCCTGGCCGTCACAGGAAGGAGCACATGGATGCTGCTAAGAGGGTGTTGCGCTACTTGTGCAGTACGTCGGGCATGGTGCTCGTACTTGGAGGACGGGCTCGAGTTGTCCTCACTGGTCACGCAGACGCTTCTTGGGCTGACGACTTGGCTACGCAGCGGTCGTCACAGGGTTACACCTTCAGTCTTGGCTCCGGCTCTGTTTCGTGGCGGTCTACCCGCTCGTCTTCTGTTCTCGGCTCCAGCTGTGAGGCCGAGATCTACGCAGGGGCCATGGCTGCACAGGAGTTACGTTGGCTCACCTACCTGCTGACCGACCTGGGAGAGCCGCCTCGTTCTCCTCCAGTTCTGTACGTAGACAACAAGGCCATGCTGGCCTTGTGTCAGGAGCACAGACTGGAGCACAGAACGAAGCATATTGCTCTTCGCTACTTCCTTGCTCGTGAGCTGCAGCAGCGTGGTCAGCTGCGCCTTGCTTACGTGGCCACTCAGGCCAACACTGCTGATATCTTTACCAAGGCACTTCAGCCTTGTGATCATCAGCGCTTTTGTACGATGCTAGGTCTTGTGCCTACTTGGCCTCACTTGCTTACTTCTTGACCTTGTACTGTGATCTATATATATCTGCTCTTGCTTGTTTACCTTTATATATATGATCCTGCATGTGAACTGGCCTAGTGGCCTTTGAACTCGTGCTCGGACTGTGTGGTGACGTTGTGATCCACCCTGAGCTTGCTTTGCTTGACTGGTCTTACGACCCCTAGCTCTCCCCCACTTTGCCTATCGGGGTGTGTCAGATTTATATGACATAGTCTTTGTAGGCTCTAGTGGGGTAGACACTAAGGGGTACAGGTTTCTAGGGTTTGATATTTGTATCACACACTTTCCTAGTTTCATCATTCCTAATTTCTTCACATATACCCACCCTCACCAAACGTCCGTTGACTCCCAATCACACTAAATCAAAGAGTTAGCTACTGTGGCCCCGATGCAATACTTGCAAAAGTCTCTGCAGTGAAGTCTATCTCGCCCGGAACCTCCCTGGAAGCGCTGAACAACGCGACATCTTCTGCGAAACAGTTCAGGTACCCTTCCCCGCTCGTCTCAGGATATAGTGATCCTCTCCTCACATATACAATCCATGGCAATCGAACTTGGTCGCCTAGATGGTGACCTAGTAGTTCCGAATAATCTAGGTAACACCTAAACATATTGTGTTTAGGAAGAATGGCCTCCCCTTGACAAGATTCAGAAGTGTTGGCCCTACAGCAAATCCTAATGATATTCTCAACCGTCTGGCCCCTCTTGCTGAGATGATCGTGACTATCGTATGGTAACTCTAAGATGTTAGCACCCACTGTTCCAGCACCTCATATTGCTTGCGGAATGCAGTGGAAAAATGGGACAATGTCCAGCAAAATGTTGGAATGTGCCGAATGGGGGGCTCCCTCGTGGGTTGGTACGTGCGCCTCACTCGTTGTGGAGCCCTCAGGCATGGCACAAACTGGACAGCTGGGGCCTTAGGGCTTGCAATGTGGCCCCCTTCCGTGTTTCCCCTTGTTACTTCCCTCATCATCATCTTCACATAGCGCATTGACCGGGCTCAATTCTCCACTGCGCCGCTCTTGCCATAGGCGTTCACTAAAAGGCAACAAGAAGATTGACGTGGACACGGTGGTCTGCGCTGAACACGCGAAGATGAGCGTACACAAGGGCTTTCCTCGATCCTCGCTACACACCTAGGTGTGAGACGACGTCGTGGTGCAGTACGCATACCGTCAGCGATGTCACTTGCTGGGGAGATTGAGTGCGCACCTCTTGACGGGAGTAAGGAAAAAGCAGATGTGAGCAGGCATGAGAGGCATGGAGAAATGAGTCAACCACCTCCAGAGAGCACAGAGAGGTATTTGGCAAGTGAGTAAGGTGGAGGGAATGTGACTGGAACGCAAAAGATGGGAAGGGAATGGCAGGGTAAGTAGGGGATGGGACGGGAAGGGATAGTACTGGAAGGGAAGGAAACGGTAGGGATCGAAGGGGTTCAGGGTTGGAAGGAATAGGAGTGGATGAACATAAGTGAAAAGAGAACGGAAGGGGAGGGTGGGGAAACATGAGGGGGATGGAATGGAAGCGTGAGGGGAGGCAGGAGAAATGAAAGCGTGCAGAGGAGGAAATGGAAGTGTGCTGGGGAGGGAATGCAAGCGTGAGGGGGAAGGAATGGAGGCGTGAGGGGTAGGGAATGGAAGCGTGGGGTGGAGGGTATGGAAGCGTGAGGGGGAGGGAATGGAAGCGCGAGGGGAGGCGGGGGAAATGGAGGCGTGGAGAGGAGGGAATGGAAGAGTGAGAGGGAGGACAAGGAAGTCGTGAGGGGGAGGGAATGCAATGGTGAGGGGGAGGGTGTGGAAGCGTGAATAAGAAGGGAAAAGCGGGAAGGGAAGCAAATGGTAGGGAAGGAAGCGGTGGGAGTGGAGGAAATCATTGGGATTGGAAGGGGAGGGAGGGAAAACTAGGGGAGAGGAAAGAGAGGGTGGTAAACCGAAGGAAGGTGAAGGGATGGGTAGGGAAGGGACGTAAGGGAAGGGAGGGAAGGGAAGGGATGCAAGAGTGAGGGGGAGGGAATGGAAGCGTGCAGGAAATAGCATGGAAGCGGGCGGGAACGGGAATGTGTGCGAGCGGAGGAGGGAATGGAAACGAGCGGGGGAGTGATTGGAAGCGATAGGGGGAGGGAAATGAAAGCGTGTGGGTGAGGGAATGGAAGCCTGAGGGGGAGGGAATGGAAGCGTGAAAGGGAGAGAATGGGAGCGTGAAAGGGGGGGAGGGGGAGGCGGGAATGGGAGCGTGCAGGGGAGGGAATGCAAGCGAGAAGGTGGGGGGGAGGAAATGGAAGCGTGAGGGAGAGGGAGTGGAAGCGTGAATGGGGAGGGATTGGAAAAGAAGGGGAGAGAAACTGAGGGGTGGGAAGGGAAGGGAAAGGAAGGGAAGGAGACGAAGGGAAGGTAAGGGCACCCGAAGCAAGGGAGGGGACTGGAACGGAGAGGAAGGGAAGGGAATGGCAGGGTAAGCAGGGGATGGGACAGGAAGGGATAGTACTGGAAGGGAAGGGAAGGGAAAAGCGGGAAGGGAAGGAAATGGGTGAAGGGTTGGTATGGATGGGAGTGGATGTGCAAAAGTGAAAAGGGAATGGAAGAGAGGGAGGGGAAATGTGAGGGGGATGGAATGGAAGCGTGAGGGGAGGCGGGAGAAATGAAAGCGTGCAGAGGAGGGACTTGAAGCGTGAGGGGGAGGGAATGGAAGCGTGAGGGGGAAGGAATGGAAGCGTGAAGGGGAGGGAATGAAAGCGTGAGGGGAGGCCTTCAAAATGGAGGCGTGAAGAGGAGGGAATGGAAGAGTGAGAGGGAAGGAATGGAAGCGTGAGGGGGAGGGACTGGACGCGTGAGGGGGAAGGGATGTGTGCGTGAGGGGTGGGGATGTATGCGTGAGGAGAAGGGATGTGTGCGTGAGGGGAAGGGATGTGTGCGTGAGGGGAAGGGATGTGTGCATGAGGGGAAGGGTTTCAAGCATGAAGGGAAGGGATGCAAGGTGAGGGTTAGGGATGCAAGCGTGAGAGGGGGGGAATGGAAGCGTGAAGGAGAGGGCATGAAAGAGAGCGGGAGCAAGTGGGGGAGGGAATGGAAGCGAGCGAGCGAGGGAATGGAAGCGAGTGGGGGAGGGAATGGAAGCGAGCGGAGGAGGGAATGGAAGCGAGCTGGGGAGGGAATGGAAGCGAGCGGGGGAGGGAATGGAAGCGAGTGGGGGAGGAAATGGAAGTGTGCGGGGAAGGGAGTGAAAGCGTGAAGGGGTCTCAAGGGAGGGGGAATGGATGCGTGAGGGGGAGGGAGTGGACGCGTGAAGGGGGAGGGAATGGAAAGGAAGGGGAGTGAAAAGAAGGGGTGGGAAGGGAAGGGAAGGGAAGGAGACGAAGGGAAGGAAAGGGCACCCTAAGCAAGGGAAGGGACTGGAACGGAGAGGAAGGGAAGGGAATGGCAGGGTAAGCAGTTTGATTGACGGGAAGGGATAGGGAATGAAGGGAAGGGAAGGGATGGGATGGAAATGGCAGGGAAGGGAAGGGATAGGAAGGGACAGGATGGGAAGGGAAGGGAAAAGAGGGAAGTGAAGGAAATGGTAGGGAAGGGAGGGATGCAAGTGTGAGGGGAAGGGATGCAAGTGTGAGGGGAAGGGATGCAAGCGTGAGGGGAAGGGATGCAAGCGTGAGGGGAAGGGATGCAAGCGTGAGGGGAAGGGATGAAAGCGTGAGGGGAAGGGATGCAAGCGTGAGGGGGAGGGAATGGAAGCGTGTAGGAGAGGGTATGGGGAGCGAGCGGGCAAGGGCGTTGAATGCGTGAGAGGGAGGGAATGGAAGCGTGAGGGGGATTGAATGGAAGCGTGAGGGGGAAGAGATGGAAGCGTGAGGGGGAGGGAACGGAAAGGTGAGGGGGAGGGAATGGAAGTGTGAGCAGGAGGGAATGGAAACGTGATGGGGAAGGAATGGAAGCGTGAAAGAGGGGGGGGAGAAATGGATGCGAGCAGGGGAGGGAATGCAAGCGTGAAGGGGGGGGGGGGGGGAGGGGAGGGGAGGGGGAGATGGAAGCGTGCGGGGGAGGGAATGCAAGCGTGAAACGGGGGGGGTGGGGTGGGGGGGATGGAGGTGTGCAGGGGAGGGAATGCAAGCGTGAAGGGGGGGAGGGGGAAGCGTGCAGGGGAGGGAATGCAGGCGTGGGAGGAGTGGGGAGGGGTTAGGGGGTCACCCGAGGAGCAACAGTGAGATTTTTCCGGTTGAAATGCCGGACAGACAAGTGGGAGGGATCCGCGCACAGCAAGTGGCGGGACAGGGCCGTGCAGGCTGTTTCCAGAGTGGAGCATCAAGGCGTGAAATGGTGGGGAAGTAAGTGTGGTGGGAGGGAGGAGTGGGGGAAAGGGAGTGGTAGCGTGGGGGAAGGGGAAAGGAAGCGTGCGGAAGGGGGGTGGAACCGTGGGGGAAGGGGAGTGTTCCCGTGGGGGAAGGGGACTGAAACCGTGGAGGAAGGGGAGTTGAAGCGTGACGGAAGGGGAGTGAGAGCGTGGGGGGAGGGGAGCGAGATCGTGGGAGAAGGGGAGTGGAACATGGGGAATCCATTGTGCTCCCGTGGAGGAAGGGGTGTGGAAGGGTGGGGGAAGGGGAGTGGAAGCGTGGGGAAGGCGAGTGGAAGCGTGGGGAAGGCGAGTGGAAGCGTAGGGGAAGGGGTGTGGTGGCGGGGGGGAAGGGGAGTATTCCTGTGGGGGAAGGGGAGTGAAACCGTGGAGGAAGGGGAGTTGAAGCGTGGGGGAAAGGGAGTGCTTGCGTGGAGGAAGGGGTGTGGAAGCATGGGGGAAGGGGAGTGGAAGCGTGGGGGAAAGGGAGTGGAAGCGTGGGGGAAGGGGAGTGGAAGCGTTGGGGAAAGGGAGTGGAAGCGTGGGGGAAGGGGAGTGGAAGCGTTGGGGAAAGGGAGTGGAAGCGTGGGGGAAGGGGAGTGGAAGCGTGGGGGAAAGGGAGTGGAAGTGTGGGGGAAGGGGCGTGGAAGCGTGGGGGAAAGGGAGTGGAAGCGTGGGGGAAGGGGAGTGGAAGCGTGAGAGAGCTAGCGCACATGAAGGGGTGTGGAAGCGTTGTGCGGGGAGATAGGAGAATTCTAGCGTGGGATTCGCATGACGTTCGGAAGGTCAGGGCTGGCGAAAACAGGGAACTGAACGGCACTGTAATAAGGGCAGAGCAGGGGGAGGACGCTTACGGGTGACGCACCTCGTGTAGGAATGCGGATTCCGTGGGCTTTCGGGGTGTGTTTTCGGTGGCATGCGTCTCGCCTAGTGTGCGAAGTGATGAGTCCATGGGGCGCCGGTATGCGTAGGGCAGGAGGGGAGAGGGCAAAACGAGGGGACAAAGAGGGGGATAAGTGAGGAAGGAGAGGGAATGGAAATGAGCAGGAGCAGACGGGGAAACGACGGGTTGCATTGGGTAGTGTGTTGGATCCGTCGTGGCCGAAATAGGGGGGATGGCGCCACCTTTGCTTTCGCGATTGAATATGAGCTGTTACCGCCCAGTGACGTTTTGGTTCTGGAACAGGGTGGTGGAAGGGGAAGGTGGTGTAAAAAAGGGGAAGGAAGTTGACTCTGGAAATTTGTCTTTCGGCTCCCAGCTGTGAGCCTACCCTCTTGCGCACCGCAACTGGGCCTGCGAGGGAGGGTGAGAGGGGTGGTTTGTGGCGGACGGCGAGGTGCAGAGCGGAAGTGGAGGCTTCGCTGATGTGCAAGGAATCCATAAACGCAAGGGTGACTGGTGGTACGCGAGAAGGGTGGAGGGTGAGCACACACCACTGCCATTGCATGACGATGGGGCAGAGACAGCTGGGCACAGGAGCGCTATCATATTCGACGGCCCAGCCGCATGCTTTTTGGACCGCAGGTGGTACCGTGAGGGCTGGTGCACCGTGTTAGGGAGGATTCTATTCTACGGTCGTGCCCGAGCATTGCGATTTTAGCGCAGAGTTGTTTGTATCGGTCGAGCTATGCTTATTATGGGACACTCTACGTCAGTTCGGTCACGCAATAGCCGTGACAACGAATCGCTCATGGCACTGCCCATATTCGTCGGTTTTTAGGCGTCTCTTACGCTCATCGGTTTGGTGACTATCCCGCGCCATATGAATTCTGCGCGCTAGTCGATGGGCAATAATGTAGTGTGGACGGTACTCTGTTTGCCGAATTTATATTAGGTGTGACAGTGCCATACCGCCGCGCTACCTTGTGATAGTAACCAATATGCTCTATGGAAGCACGATATAGTCTGGTCTGTGAGGCGCACTCACCTTAGTCGCGTTCGTAGAGTAGCACTTGTGATGGCGGCTCTGGTAAGTCAGCTGCTGGAGAAGGTCGAGGAGGTGGTTGTGGGTGTTGACGGAGTTTCGATGGGCTGTCCGAAACCTTGCGACCACTTTTCTAGTTTGTGGTGTGTGCGAGCATAGTTTGTTGCAGATGCCCGTTTCGACGAACTCTGCATCCCTGGCTTGATTTTGTGTACGAAATGTATCAGGTTAGCGAAGTTCGCTATTCCCCCAACCTAGCCTCCAATTTCGACAATCAGATACGGGGGTTTCAATCGACTGCAAAACACTCGATTTACATATGTCCCTGGTTTTAAAACCAGGGTGCACATTCAACGCGGTTCGGCTTGAGATGTTGGGAAGGGGGTTTGGAGAAAAACAGTGATTGGCTCACGAGGGGCGACAAAAAAATGATTCCGCTAGAGCTTCGGGCATTTCGTAGGTGGCGGGAGGGGGTGAAATGGCGGGAGTGGGTGAAACCGAATGGCGGGAGGGATGAAACAGATTGGCGGGAGGGGGGGGAAACGAAATTGCGGGGGAGGGGGGAAACAAAATTGCGGGGGAGGGGGGAAACGAATTTCGACGGGGAGGGGGAAATGAAATTGCGGGGGCGTGGGGAAACGAAATTGCGGGGGAGGGGGGGAAACGAATTTCGACTTGAAGGGGTTGAAAGCACACCTCGTAACCCACTCAGTCAAGGGATAACCTTTGATGCACATTCAGCTGAATGTGCACCCCGGTTTTAAAACCAGGGTGCACATTCAACGCGGTTCGGCTTGAGATGTTGGGAAGGGGGTTTGGAGAAAAACAGTGATTGGCTCACGAGGGGCGACAAAAAAATGATTCCGCTAGAGCTTCGGGCATTTCGTAGGTGGCGGGAGGGGGTGAAATGGCGGGAGTGGGTGAAACCGAATGGCGGGAGGGATGAAACAGATTGGCGGGAGGGGGGGGAATCGAATTTCGACGGGGAGGGGGAAATGAAATTGCGGGGGCGTGGGGAAACGAAATTGCGGGGGAGGGGGGAAACGAATTTCGACTTGAAGGGGTTGAAAGCACACCTCGTAACCCACTCAGTCAAGGGATAACCTTTGATGCACATTCAGCTGAATGTGCACCCCGGTTTTAAGAGAAGCAACAAGACAACGCGCAGGGTGGATCTCTGTCAGAATCCCAACCACTAGACCATTGGGATAAAAGGGCTTGTTAAGTAGCGGGTCAGTGCGCCCATAACCCCCCAGGCCAACGTGCCTGTAACCCTTCCCTAGGATCAATCGGGGATCACCAGTGGACCTCTGACACCCCCCCGCACTGGGATGCCCGAAGTACATACACCGGGATTCGAACCCGAGACCTTCGCTCTGATACCATGTCAGAATCCCAACCACTAGACCATTGGGATAAAAGGGCTTGTTAAGTAGCGGGCCAGTGCGCCCATAACCCCCCAGGCCAACGTGCCTGTAACCCTTCCCTAGGATCAATCGGGGATCACCAGTGGACCTCTGACAATCTCAAGATCACCATACAGTTCGAGCACAAACAAACGACCACAAGGACAGTTCAAGAGTTCACAAATGTATATACCGTATGGCCCCAGATAGAAGCGCAGTCATATTAAAAGCGCATGCGCTTCTATCTTGAGCAATTCGCTTATGGCAGATCCTAATAAAACTTTCATTTGTTAATTTTTGAATTGAAAATGTGTCAAAACACTACAATGATTTTTACTTTAGCAAGCGGATGTGTTGCAAATTCTGTTCTCTTCACGTTCGAACCCTGCACATGATGTGAGTCCAGTCTGCATGAGCTCTCAGGGGCGCCTTTTAAGTCACATCGACTGTATCTGCCAGCGCGCGCGAGAATTTTACTCACGACCCCATGTAACTTCGACTCAAGTGCATGCGCTTATAAATTTGACTCAATTGTATGCGCACCCCCCTAAAAAAACATGTTTTATTATGAGCGCACCTGCGCTTCTATCAGGGGGTCATACGGTGGATGCAAGGACAAGCATATTAAGCAACAAGAAACAAGGCTACAGCAACCGAGCACCAGCGTCAACAAGGCATAAATGAAGACAGAACCTTTGGTGGTCACTAGGCACTAGGGCCTTGTTGAAAATGTCTGTTATGTTGGCCGCTGAGGCCACGAAGACCAAACGAGCCTGGCCGCGTCGTTGCAACTCTCACAGGAGATTGTACCTCACGTCGATGTGCTTCACTCTGCCTTCCAATCGAGGCTCTCGACAGAGGAGGATCATTATCTTGTTATCAGCAAGCAAGGTCGGTGAAGAGCGAGGCCGCTCACCAAGTTTAGTGAGCAAGAAAGTCAACAATCGAAGCTCCTGTGGAGCCATGGCACCAGCGTAGATCTCTGCCTCTGCTTTGGACTGTGCCACTGACGACGACCGAGTAGACCTCCACGAGACAGCTCCAGCACCCAAACCGAAGCAATAACCCTGAGTAGACCACGCTGTCGGCGTACAAAAAGTTGTATTGACCTGTCAGTACAACTGGATGTGTCCCTCCAAGCACAAGCCCCATGCCTGATGTAGTCGCCAGGTACTTCGCCACCCTCACAGTAGCCGTCAAGTGAACAGGACGGTGTCTCTCAGTCGCAACAAAGAAAGAGAGAATGTTGAGGGGAAAAGAGAGGTCTGGACGAGTACAGGTCATCAGGTACATGAGACAGCCCACAAGCTATGCGTAGGGACCACTGGACTCAAAGGGCTCATCGGGAAAAGGGCCAGTGGGTCTGTGGTCAACAGCAAGAGGAGTGGGCTGTGCGGTGGAGAACTGAAACCCGAACCGCTGAAGAACCTGCTGCACCATGTGTGACTGAGTCAGTGTGATGGTGTGAGCGGCTCTGTTCCTGGTGATCTGAAGGCCAAGGTAGTGACGCAATTCACCCAGGTCAATGCACGTGTGTCTCTTCTGCAGTGCTGGCTTCACCTCAGCCAGAGCAACCCTTTGTGCTGTAGCGAAGACCGAGTCGTCGACGTAGACAAGGACAACGAAAGGAGTGGAGCCTATGCGAACAAACTGCGATGGGTCAGCTGACGAAGGGCAGAAACCGAGGTCAGCCATTGTGGTGCGTAGCGTGTCGTGCCACTCACGAGGTGCCTGGCGGGGACCGTAGACTGGTCGCCTGAAGCTCCACTGGGTCCCAGGAGGGAAAGTGCAGTGAAGCCAGGAGGACGCCGTAGCTAGATCTCCTCGTGTAGGCGGCCCTGGAGAAAGGCAGTGGAGAAGTCAAGGGAGTGCAGCTCGTAGTCTCGCTGTGCTGCTACGTGAATTAACACCCGAAGATTAGTCATAGCTGAGCCACTACACGGCCCCGCTTAGCAACCCACTCACGAAGCTGCTGCGGCGAGGGAGTCTCCTGACGACGCGGATGCTGCTGCTGCTGCAGTCCACCCCCAGAACCGCCACCTCCACTTGCTGCTCCACCAGACGCAGCTCCACCCGACGTCACACCTGCGCCACCACCCTCGCCAGCTCCACCTCGACCGCCACCCCCACCTCCTCCGCCACCTCCACCACCCCCGCTACCCCCACCACCCCCGTCCCTCCCACCGCCTCCGCCACCTCCACCACCCCACCACCCCCACCCTTCTTGCGCGCACCCCTGTTGCGCCTCCCGCTAGGAGCGGACGAGCTCCAGCCTCCTCAGCACTTAGGAAGTCAACAGCAGCAACAGAGGCAACAGAGGACGTCAGAAGGGAGGGAATACACCCCTAAAAAAATGAGGTGAAGGGGGTGCCACGGGAGGCAGCGACAGCGCGGACACTGGTCTCAGTCTCGAGGAGACGAGTCTCAAATGAGTCAAGGGTGAGACTAGTGGGTTCTAGGGAGAGGAAGTAGTCGCGAGTAGCATGAAGGGTGTCAGAGAGGCGAGTAACTAGGAAGTACAGAGTGAGGTAAATGGGGGGCTGATTCTCTTTCAGAAACTCGGGCAGGAGAGCCGGTAGCGAGTATCAAGGGAGCACAGGTGGGTCACCAGGTCAGTTACAATGGTGAAGTCTGAGAGCTCAGGGAAGAGAAACAATAGCACAAGACGGCCTAGGGTGGCAGAGGATAGGGCCTGGGCCGACTTCACCTGGCGAAAGTGGACCCTCTGGTCAGGCGACAGGTGGTTGAGGACAACAAGCATAGCAGCTGCGCCGTGCGCCGTCCACTGCGTGCATGCAGCACGGTCAGCCTGGTACTTCTTCTGCACATCCTCCGCAGCAACATGGGAAGGCTCAACTGGAGTTGGCGGGGCCTTGAGGGACCCCGACGTGTGCTCGAACAGCGAGACGTCACCCTGGTGACGCTCTGTAGGTACATGGTCAGGTCCTCCAGCCAGGACTCAAACTCGATAGGGCGCTCCTCTGCGTCGAACGCTAGGACGGTAAAAGTCGCCATGTCTAAAACTAGGTCAGGCAGTAGCACTAGGAACGAGTTGCAGTGATAGGTGTCAACGGGAGTAGTGTTTGGCCCCGTCCTCGCTTGGGCGGAGCCGGCCTCGACAACCGCGGGAGACCGCGGGGCCGCGGAAGGCCGCGGGAGGCCGCGGGAGACCGCGGGGCCGCGGAAGGCCGCGGGAGGCCGTGGGAGACCGCGGGGCCGCGGGAGGCCGCGGGAGACCGCAGGGCCGCGGAAGGCCGCGGGAGGCCGCGGGAGACCGCGGGGCCGCGGAAGGCCACGGGAGGCCGCGGGAGACAACCACAGGACCACGGGACCGCGGGGACCGCGGTGGCCGCGGATGGACGACCGGGGGCCACGGAGGCCGCGGGATACCCGGTCGACCAGGATACCCGGGCGACGTGTGCGAAAGTCGCCGGGGGTGGTTTCTGCGAGGACGACCTCGGGGGTGGTATCCCGAGGTCGACGTGGCTGGTGGGCGCCGTCACGGTGGAGTGTCTACGCTGGGCATGTGACGGGGCGTTGGGCGCCAACCAGCTGCACGCACCTGCAAAGCTGGTGCACCATTGTCAGGCGGGTGCAACGCTGTGCAGCCGACTTGCTGCAGCGTTGGCACACCGCGGACTTGCAACGTTGGCAAGCCGCGACTCTGCTCTGCTGGAGCGCGGTCGACCACGTCGTGCTGGCACGCGGTCGACCGTGCTGCGCTGGCAGTCGACCAGAAGCCTTGCTAGGTCTGATGTAGTCTGTGTTGCCAATGTTGATGCTATCATTCTGAACCTTTGTTGTTATGTTTTCCTAGTGAAACTCTTGCCAAATTTCCCTGTGAACCAGCAAGCAGTGCAAGCACAAGTAAACGACTAAGGAACGAACGCAGAGATCACACGAGCATCCGTGCCTATCCCGTAGTCTAGCTCCCGTTGCTAAAGTTATCTCCGCAATAGGCACGGGGGGGTGCAGTGGGAGAACAGACAGCACGGCAGTAGATGAGCGGCTCGGCAGCAGGCAGAGCGGCAGTGAGGCGCGGCACGGCAGTAGGCAGGGCGGCGCGGCGCGATTAGGCAGGGCGGCTCGGCACGACAGGGTGGCGCGGTGCGACAGGAGGGAGGGCTGTGCGGCGGTAGCGCAGAGCAGCGCTGGCGGCAGCGTGTACGGCAGGGCGGTAGCGCGGGGTAGCGGAGGCGGCAGCCAGCAGCGCGGGGTAGCGATGGTGGCAGGTCAAGCGGTTGAGCGGCAGCGCAGGGCAGCGTAGGGCAGCGCGGGCGGCAGCGGGGTGCAGCGCGAGCGGCAGCACAGCAGCGCGGGCAGCAATGCAGGCGGCAGCAAAGGCGGGGCAATGCGGGCAGCTGCGTTGGCGGCAGCGCGCGGGGCAGCGCAGAGCAGCGCGGGGCAGTGTGGGCGGTTGCGTGGGCGGCAGCAAGGTAGCGCGGGGCAATGCGGGCGGCAGCGCAGGGCATCGCCGGTGACAGCGCAGGGCAGCGGAGGCGGCAGCGCGGGGTAGCACGGGGCAGCGCGACAGCGCGCGCAGGGCAGCGTGGCAGCGCAGGGCAGCGCATGCAAGGAAGGGCTGCAGCGTGGGGCAGCGGGCAGGGCGCGGCGCGGCGGTAGGCCAGCGGGCGGCAGTAGAGCAGTGGCGCGCGTGAAGGCAGCAGCGCCTAGGGCAGTACGGCAGGCAGATCTAACCCACTCGAAGATACCATGTTAGAATGTGAAACATCGGAATGAGTTCACTATCAAGGAGAGCAGCACAAATAGCAACCCTAAAAGGGTTGTACCCCTTCCAGCTAGCCTCACTACAGCCTAATACACAAACATACAAATATGTTTGACACGGAGCCCTCAAGCTGCCTGAAAACGAGAACAGTCTGCTGCAGCAGGGAGTCGCTGGTGATCCAATGTGATGTCGCCACCATGAACGCCAAGGCGTTCTTGCTGGTCTACATGTAATCATCCCTCCCAGCCCGTCAACTAATACCAGCTGCCGCAGCTCCGCCCTAGCTGCATCGCCCGATATATGCATGTCACGTGCTAGGCAGAAACAAGTGCCGAGGTGTCACGCCGCCTCGGGGTTCAGCATCGCAACAAAGTCCCTAAACAGGCATGGGGCAGGGCTCAAATATGGAATGCTTGCAAGGTTTAGTCTACTGTAAGGCGTGATGACAAGGCATCATCAATCGGACAACCCTGGTATCGAGAACATCATACCCATGAGATCTTATGTCTTGCTGGTCGACCGCTAGAAACGGCATGTCGAGTCACTCAAATAGCATCACCAAACCCTCGTACAGCTGCTGAGCACCAACCTGCAATGTGACGAATGAGCTCATGGCAGCGACGCCTGTCATCATACTCGAACCAATCCCTGTCGTTCCAAATGAAATGTTGGACCACGTATCCGCATGCTCCCATGGCCACTTGAAAGGATAAGGGACATTTGGCTTCGGGAAAGTGGTATATGAAGGCTTCTTCGGATCGAAGTAGCGACAAACCCAGATTTGCATACTAGGGTAGTGAAACCGCTTGAAGTGCCCCCCCCCCCCCGGAACTTGTGCTACTCTGACCACAATTCATTTCTATGTTGCACCTCAGGCAGCGCCCTCCCTGACCCATCACTAGGTCCAACACCACCCCCAGCACTTCCCCCCACGGCTGCCCCCTGACCTTGAGCCCACACCGCGAACTTCCCCCCCCCCCCCCTCTTCTTTGAACCCCAACTTCCACGGGCGGCACTTCCATCAACTCGCCCCCCACCCCTACCTCGCCGTCATCATGAGACTCTGAACCCTCACTTTCGTTTTTGCGCCTCTAAAATTCCCCCTTTGTTCCCCCCTCTTTCTTCTCCTAGGTTTGCATTCTACAAAAGGCATGTGCTCCTCTCTTGTAAGGCAGGGCCGTGCCCCTCTCTTGTAAGGAAGGGCCATGCCCCTCTCTTGTAAGGCAGGGGCGTGACCATTCCTGCCTGCCTCGCAGCGTGAAAGCACGCTTCTCGCCAGCACCTGACTTGGCTCACCTCCATTTCACTCACTGCCACCACCTCATCCACTCCACGTTTCACTACCCCACACCTGCCCCTCCTAATCCCTCCAACACCCCCTATTGCCCTCCCCGTGCACCCCCCTCCTTCCCTTCCCCATCATATCCCCTCTTCTTCGCCCCCCTCTCATCCTCCCTCCCTCCCAGGTTCGGGCACCGGGTGTATATGGGGGGCGAGCAGGTATTCGCGACGCTGACGTCTGCAGAGAGTCACTCTACAATAGTCGTGAGCTAGATTACGGGGTGTTGACACGAACTCTAGGAGTGATTGTAGCTTTGTCTGGTTCCTTAGCACTTGCACATTCACGGGAGAATTTGGCAAGAGTTTCCACTAGCAAAGTTTGCATTACAGTTTGATAGCAATGACAAATAACAAGAATGACTACATCAGGCGACTAGCAACTCTGCAGCTAGCCTGGTCGACCGCCAGTACAGCATGGTCGACCGCATGGCAGCGTTGCGTAGAGGAGCCGCGCCAACACTCCAGAAACGCGGCCTGCCAACACAGCAGGTCGACGGCGTGCCAACGCTGCAGCAGAGCGGCTGTCCATCGTTGCACCCGTAGAAGAAAGCAGTGCGCATGCTCGCAGGTGCGCGCAGGCGATTGGCCTGACTTGCACCGTTGTGCATCTGTCGGCAGTGGGCTGCGCCTGACGAGCCACATCAACTTCGAGGTACCAGCCCAAAGTCGCCTTCGCCATCGGGACCTCGACGACGTTCGCGTGCCTCCGCAGAGCTCGCCGAGCAGGTTACCTTGTCGACCTGGTCGACCACCCAGTGCTCTGGTCGACGCTTCCCTCGTCGACCACAGCTCCCGTCGAGGAGCACCCTGGTCGACGCACCCCTCCGTCGACCAGCACTGTCAGCTGCTCCTCCTGGTCGACGGCCCGTCCGTCGACCAGCCCAGTCCCCTGTACCCGTCGAGCTCCCCTGGTCGACGGCTCTAGCTTCGCGACAGTCTTGTGCAAGTCGACGACCACCTCGTCGACCTGCCCCGCAGAAGAAGGCCGTTGAGCTCCCCTGGTCGACGGCAGCACCGCAGCGATCGGCTCGACGAAGCCCGTCGAGCAGCTCCCTCACTACGTACGTTCGGCTGCTTCTCACATACATTCGACCCCGACGTCGGCTCGCCCAAGCGAGGGCGGGGCCAACACTCCATTCCCAAACCATGATGATGGGCGAGGCCAATCGGAGTGCCTCGTGCACACCATCGAGAACCTCGAGTGCTGCGCATACGGTCGCCGCGGCGTCATGGTGCGCGTTCCTGGCGCGCTCGTGTTCGGGCGGCAGTTCATCCCGTCGCCCCGTACGCAGGTAGAGGGCATCTCGAGCGGCGGGGCGACGGGGTACAAGGGGCATGAGAAGAAGCTGGAGAGCTTCATAGAGCTTTTTGTGATCGAGCCCGTGGAGGCGTCAGGGTCATACCCGGTGGCGAAGCAGGAGCTGTACGTGCAGAAGTGACGGGGTGCAGGCAGCAGTGGCTGCATGGTTGGAAGTGAGAAAACGGATATCTATTGGGTTGGTTAGGGCTGATGGACCCCTGGCATGCTGGTACTGGGCTGGGTAAAGGGCAGGCCTGGTGGCAGTGGGTGCAGCGGCAAGATTGGTTGCTGTGATGCATGCATTGCAAGGAGGGATAGTATGCATGGAGGCCATTTGGATTGAGAATGCTCCCTGCTATGTTCATCAATGGAGTAACATACAGCAATTGAGCAACTAAGAGTGGTTTGATAGGCACGAAGAGAGGGAAGCTAGATGGGCTGTGGAGGCATCTTCATGCTTGGTCTGCAGTCATGCCCTCATTCCATACGGTGGTGACTTATCAATGGTGGAAGTGCCAAACATATGGGGACATGTTGATCCAATTTGCGTGGTAGACATAGCAGCAACGATAAGTTTGTCATCCACTCTGAGTAACGTTGTACGGCACAAGTAAAACGAGATTATTGCAACAGTCAACAGCCCCCCCCCACCCCCTTCCTCCTGATTCCTTGCCCGATCGCACATCCACCGTCGATGTTGCAAGGCATCATCAGTTACTGGCACGAGGTCCATTTACAAGCCAAGTCTCATGACTAGTAACCATTTAAGAAGGCCTTTTCCTCCTTCTCACAACTTCCATGCCTGTTCCGGCACCAGCGCAGTTTCTCGTCGGCACCACACTAGTTCTAGGGTGCTACCCTGTAGTGCCGGCTCTGGGGGGTGTTGGATGCTGATGCTAGAAGTGCTGATTTTTGGTGTTGCCGCGGGAAGTACTGGTCTTGGGGGTGCCACGAGCGCGTGATGTCTGGCGCCGCAGCAGCCGCAACCGTTGCCGCAGCAGCAGCCGTTGCCGCAGCAGCAGCCATTGCCGCAGCAGCAGTCGCTGTCGCCGCCGCCGCCTGTATCTGCACTTTGCTTTCTTGGATTTTCTTCTGCCGCGGGCGCGTGACGTCTGGCACCGCAGCAGCCGCAGCTGTTGCCGCATTTGTAGCCATCGTCGCCGTCGCCGTCTATATGTGAATTTTTTCTTCTTGGTCTTTCTTCAGTCGCGGGCATGGGACATCCGGCGTCGCAGCAGTCGAGCCGTTGCGGCTGCCGCCTGTGTCTGCACTTTGCCTTCTTGGTCTTTCCTCTGGCTCGCTTGACCGACCACCGTCTCCTCCCCCACCGTCTCTCCCAGTTTGTGGTCCCACGTTTTCTCCCCGGGTCTCGTCTCCGGCTCTTCTTCCTCTGCGTTCACAGCTGTCTCTTCCTATGTCTCCTGACGCGACTCCTCCCTCCCACGACTGGGTCCGTCGTCCCTCTCCTGCTCGCTCAGTGTCTCCCATTCCTAGCGTTCTCTCTATGCTCCTCCGTTTTTGCGTCTCTCGTGCTCCGCCACCCGCTGTTTTCCTGTCACCTCCTCCATCGCCCCTTGCTGTCTCCTCTCCTCCGTTCTCTGGCTTTCTCTGGGCCGCTCCCTTTACAGTCTCCTGTGTCCTTTCCTCCCTCGTTACCGACCCCACTGCTCCTCCGCCCATCTTTGCTCTTGTCGCTGACTTTGCCTCTATCCGCTGCCTTGAGTACGCCTCTAAGTTGGTCTATGAATGCCAAAGAGAGACTCAGTAAGTAGAGAAGCCAAAGAGAGTTATTGGGGGATGGATTCCCAAGAGCGTTAGGCTCTCACATATATGACATGTAAATTCATAATTGGTGTTAGGGGAGGACAGATGAAACCAAGAAGAGCAAAACACTGCCTCAGCAGAGGATTGAACTCTGGACCTTTCGCTTACGAAGCGAACGCACTACCACTGTGCTACTGGGGCTGTGGTGTAGACGAATAAAGTGCTATCATTAGTCTTAGATGATGAAAATTCCAAGTTCTTTCCTGATAACACTTGCTGGTCACTGGCGATCTAGCTTGAAAGCGTGAACGGTAAGAAGCTTCGTCAAAACAGTAGCGAGCTCATAAGCCAATTTACTTTCGCGACCAATAGCCCGTAGAAACTTGGTCGAAAGTTGGGCGTGCTGATCTCACATGCCCTTACTTCACAAGCAATGAACTGGCCTGCCATGATATCTCACGATTTATTATACTTCGAGGCTAAGAATAAAAAACGACCACTCATTTCCACATGCCTAAAATTATTGCGGGGCGAAGAGGCCAGCAACAAAGAGGCAGAGGAATATCGCCCAGACAGGGACAGAGTCGAACGGCAGAGTGAGGAGCGAGAGCACAGAGGACGGCAGTGGCTGCGGCGGTGCTCCGTGCCTTGCCACTGGCCACGTGGGGTCTGTTACCTGCCGATGGGAGTGTGTGTGAAGCAATGAGGATGGAAGGAAGCAGGGAGGGATTGGGTGTAGTGAGAGCACTGAGGACAGCAGTGGCTGCGGTGGTGCTTCGTGCCTTGCCACTTTCCATGTGGGGTCTGTTACCTGTCAGAGGGAGTGTGGGTGAGGCAATGGAGATGGAAGGAGGAGTGTGGGTGAGGCAATGGAGATGGAAGGAGGAGTGTGGGTGAGGCAATGGAGATGGAAGGAGGAGTGTGGGTGAGGCAATGGAGATGGAAGGAGGAGTGTGGGTGAGGCAATGGAGATGGAAGGAGGAGTGTGGGTGAGGCAATGGAGATGGAAGGAGGAGTGTGGGTGAGGCAATGGAGATGGAAGGAGGAGTGTGGGTGAGGCAATGGAGATGGAAGGAGGAGTGTGGGTGAGGCAATGGAGATGGAAGGAGGAGTGTGGGTGAGGCAATGGAGATGGAAGGAGGAGTGTGGGTGAGGCAATGGAGATGGAAGGAGGAGTGTGGGTGAGGCAATGGAGATGGAAGGAGGAGTGTGGGTGAGGCAATGGAGATGGAAGGAGGAGTGTGGGTGAGGCAATGGAGATGGAAGGAGGAGTGTGGGTGAGGCAATGGAGATGGAAGGAGGAGTGTGGGTGAGGCAATGGAGATGGAAGGAGGAGTGTGGGTGAGGCAATGGAGATGGAAGGAGGAGTGTGGGTGAGGCAATGGAGATGGAAGGAGGAGTGTGGGTGAGGCAATGGAGATGGAAGGAGGAGTGTGGGTGAGGCAATGGAGATGGAAGGAGGAGTGTGGGTGAGGCAATGGAGATGGAAGGAGGAGTGTGGGTGAGGCAATGGAGATGGAAGGAGGAGTGTGGGTGAGGCAATGGAGATGGAAGGAGGAGTGTGGGTGAGGCAATGGAGCAGAGAGAGGCTGGAAGGCAGTGGCTGCGGTGGTGTTCTGTGCCTTGCCACTGGCCATGCGGGGCCTGTCACCTGTCAGGCGAGTGTGAGATAATGGGGATGGAGGTGGGGAAATGGGGACGGAGGTGGGGAAATGGGGATGGAGGTGGGGAAATGGGGATGGAGGTGGGGAAATGGGGATGGAGGTGGGGAAATGGGGATGGAGGTGGGGAAATGGGGATGGAGGTGGGGAAATGGGGATGGAGGTGGGGAAATGGGGATGGAGGTGGGGAAATGGATGGGGAATGGGATGGAGGTGGGGAAATGGGGATGGAGGTGGGGAAATGGGGATGGAGGTGGGGAAATGGGGATGGAGGTGGGGAAATGGGGATGGAGGTGGGGAAATGGGGATGGAGGTGGGGAAATGGGGATGGAGGTGGGGAAATGGGGATGGAGGTGGGGAAATGGGGATGGAGGTGGGGAAATGGGGATGGAGGTGGGGAAATGGGGATGGAGGTGGGGAAATGGGGATGGAGGTGAAGCAATGGGATGGAAGGAAGCACAGAGAGTCTGAGAAGGAAGAGCGCTGGGAGGAAGGCAGCTGCTGTGGTGATGTGATGCTCCATGCCTTGCCACCACCCCCACAGGTGAGAAATGAGTAGATCCCGATTCCCAAGAGTGAGAAACCTGTTGGGAAAGGATTAGTAAGAGTAAACGATAGCCTGAATGAGACTTTTCAAAAAACGCAACGAGCGCCAATCACCCTGTGTTTCTTCACTTCCCATGGCAGGAAAAAGCCACCCCTGGTCGTTATCAGCTCATGTAATTGGTGTTTTAACTCATATTTTCCCTGCTGGTCCCTTTTATCCACCACCTGCTACCTGTCACCGCTGCTGCTCCTTCTCCTCTGCTTACGATTGTAGTTACTATCGCCCTACCTTGAGGCTTGACTGGGGGTTTCCTGGGCACAGACAGCATGTGCCACGCGTTGGGGAGGAGGAAACAAGGCACCCAGGTGATGTTTGAGTTGACTGACTGCATATGCGCCTCAGAAGCAGCACCTCAGAAGGCACAGCTGTGACATATCGCCCTACCTTGACTGGCGGTTTCCTGGGCACAGACTGCATGTGCCACGCGTTGGGGAAAACAAATCGAGGCACCCAGCTGGTGAGGGGGTGGTGGCAGGCGCGAGGGGTGGGAGGGGTGGCGATGGGAGAAGGGGGGGGGATGCAGACGGTGGGAGGGAGGGAGACTAAGTGAGAGCAGGGAATTGCCAGGTTGGGGACGAGAGGGCTGACTGCGTCGACTCAAAAGACGGTTGAATGATGGTGATGACTGGAGGGGTCAAGAGAAAAAGCACGTGGTTTATAGCATGGTATACTCAAAAGGCAATAGGATGGGATAATACAGGGGTGGGGACACGAAGGAGGGAGGGGGTGTGGTGGAGGGAGATGCGGCACTATCCGTCTGCATACTCTCATTCCTCCTAATCACCGTCCCCTTTCCCAACCCTCTCACCGCCTCTCTCCTTCCCCCGCCCTCACCTCTCTCCTTCCACCACCCTCACCTCTCCCGCCCTGAAGCGGATCGAATGCCACACTGATCCAGGGTGGAGCGTTCATCCAGCTGTCAGATGAAGAGATAGGTACAAAGCGGTGGAGAGTGGTTGAGAGTAATGTGGTGTGATGGATAGAGGAGCACATCCAATACCGCACTGATCCAGAGTGGAATGCTCATCCAGCTGCAAATGGCACACATGGAGAGGGTGCACAGCGGTTGGGAGTGTTTCAAAGTGGTTCAAAGAGTGGTGGTGACAGAGTGTGAAACCGGATCAAGCAGCAAGTATGGCATCATAGTTATATACGCACTGGTAAGGGGGTAAAGAGAGGCTGGAAAATAAACAGTAGGTTAGGGAGATGATGAACAGTCATTCAGCTGAGGAGTAAGCTAAGGAACGAACAGCAGCGGGTAGAGAAGAGGGTGTGGTCGTTCAAGCAAGAGGGCTCGAGCTCATTCAATTCCACAAGCCAGTCATCCATTCGTGCTCATTTAATTCCACAAGCCAGTCATCCATTCGTGCTCATTTAATTCCACAAGCTAGTCATCCACTCGTGCTCGAGTACTTTCACCCATTGGATTGGAGAAATCCGGCAATCCACGGTTGGATTTCACATCACACCCTAACCCTAGTTCCTTCAGCACGACTCCTAATTGAAGGAAACCCTGACGGTGAGATTGAGTAGATTTGCCTTAGTTATGCTGATAATACTAACCGTGGACGCAACTTAACCAAAAAGAAATGGGATCGAGCTCAAAATGAGCTCGATACCAACTTTCAGCACTTCGAGTATCCAACCAGCGCGGCCAATGTCGCGCTGGTTTTTCTGTGAACACTTAGGTGTTTGTGTAACAGCTAAAAAATCCCGAACATGTTCGATGTTTGGGATTGTTTTGCCAAAGAAGGCGCGAACGCTGAACATGTTTAATCAAGACAAAAATCAAACATATTCAGCCGAACATTTTTGGCAAAAAAAAAAAGGTATATTCTGTTCGTCTCGAACTTGTGTTTTTGCTCATGTCTACACACAGCTAGTGTACTTACCTCCACCCCGTTAAACACAAGCGATGCAGTCCCCCCTGCTGCCAGCGCCACACCTTGATCCCGCAGCATCTGCTGTGCCACCCCCCCTGCCGTTTCCTCCCGCCCCGCACTCACTCGCACCAGCTCACACGCTCGGCTGGGACCGGGGAGGATGGGGAGAGAAAAGCAGGAGAGAGAGAGGGGGACGGGACAGGGTTGAGTCAATTATATAGGCCTCCTCCCACCCCGCACTCACTCGCACCAGCTCACACGCACGGCTGGGACCAGGCAGGGAGAGGGGAGAGAAAATCGAGGGGAGAGCGAGAGGGAGGGGTGAGGATTGAGAAAAATTCATAGGCCCCCTCCCGCCCCAACCCCACTCCCACCAACTCACACGCTCGGCTGGGATCAGGGAAGGAAGTTGGAAAAGAAACGAGGAAGGGGAGAGTGGGATGGAGGGATGGGGTTGGTGGAACAGGGGGTGAAGATGCAAAGAGCAGCAGCGAAGGAAGATGAGCTCTGGGGTGACATTACAGGCTTTTTATGGTCTCCCAACTCACTCACGCTAGCTCAGATGCTTGGCTGGGAGAGGGGAGGGAGTGGGGAGAGTAGAGGGTGCGGCGCCCGATACGGGGGGTTTGAAGAGGGTGGCGGGATGGAGAGAGGAGTGAGCAGCAGTGAATGGAGGTGAGTGCTGATCGACATTACAGAATCTCTGGGGAGGGAGTGGGGAGAGAAGATGGATCGGGGGTTGAAGAGGGTAGTGAAGGATTGGAGAGAGCGAGAGCGAAGGGAGGTGAGTGAACGTTGAGTCAACCTGTTAGGCAAGTCACGTCGTTTTAAAAGTCGTCCTCTCGAGCAAGAAAGGAAAGAAGAGATGCAAGGGGGACGGGAAAGGGGGGCAGGGTGAGAGGGAGTAGCGAAAGGGGGTGAGGGTTGAGAAGATTTTACGAGGTTCTTGCTGTTACCTTCCTGCATCTCCTTGCCACGCGTCCCACCACTACCACCTCTCTTTCTTGTCCCTGTGCGCCATCAGCAGCAGCACTTCCACCTTATTACCCTGAATTACTTACACAAACGCTAACTCGAAATCTAACCCTAACCCTGACCCTAACTCGAGCTCAACGGCTAGCCCGCTAGTACCCGCTCCCCCACCCCCGCCGCACCTGTCCGCCATCAGCAGCAGCACTTCCACCTCCTGCCCGCCCGAATCGCCCGCCATCGCTTTGCGCCTACGCCTTGCGCCTTACGTCTTGCGGCTCCCGCTTTGCGCCTTCCGCTTTGCGCCTTCCGCTTTGCGCCTTGCGCCTTGCGCCGTGCGGCTTCCGCCTTACGCCTTGCGTGCTGCCGCGTTGACCCGCCGTCAAGCGCCTTCCCTTCCTTCCGCTTGCGCTTCCTCAGCTTCCGCACGCCCTGTACCTCTCGTCGTGCCTCTTCCCTTCACCGCCTCCTCTTCGCCTGTCGTCTTGCCTCCTCCTCGCCTCGCGTCTTGCCTCCGCCTCGCCTAACGGCCCACACCAGCCTTCACCACCACGGCTCACCAACTGACGGTCAATCCTGTCCTATTTTTGAGTCACTTTTGTTTTTTTCTCACAAGACTCTCCGCTTCCACTCTCTCTCTCTCTCTCTCTCTCTCTCTCTCTCTCTCTCTCTCTCTCTCTCTCTCTCTCTCTCTCTCTCTCTCTCTCTCTCTCTCTCTCTCTCTCTCTCTCTCTCTCTCTCTCTCTCTCTCTCTCGCCTCCCGGCGTCCTCGCCCGCCGCTCAGGTTCCTTCCCACACGCCGCGCCCCAACTGCCGCACACTTCGACGATGCGCCACCCGCTAATTGGATGCGACGAAGCGGACAGCGATAGGCCCTGGTTGTTAGCTTGTTTTGACCGTATCGAGATCTATTATATCGACGAGACAAGGATGGCTGTAACAGTGTGGCAGCCGAATGCTGCCAAATACAGTGCAGGTGGGCGGAAGTCAAGCGCCACCTCACCAACTGTTCGTATTGGTCAAACGCCTCAACCTGCAGCTGGGCGACCAGGTCCTGACACGCAGCCCAAGTCAAACCCTCGCGCGAAAATTACGAAACGCAAAACACCCAAGTTCCGACGCCTCGCCGACTTCGCCAACCACGCCGACGAAATTACAGCCCCGTAATCAAACTCGCCGACCAATCCCGTACCGCAATAATCCCCTGAATTTCACGGCAAGGTTCATTTACAAGGGAAGGGTTACCAATAGGGAATTCAGGGTGTCGCGACTTGGTAGTGCGACTCGATTTCTGAATGTGCTCTATAAAATTGTACTGTCAAATTTGTAAAGGCATATTGCAAATTCCAGAGAACTCCAGAGAGCACTTCATACCCGTTTTCCTAGCCTACTAAGGCTGCTACTTCCCTGCCAGCAACGTTTCACTGGTAATCAGAGCCTGGTTAGTCACATCGCACGCTCCTGCCATATTCTAGACCCTATGGCTGGGCCGTCTGATATGACTCCGGAACTCTGGAACGAGTTTGTAGCCAACATGCGCAGAGAAATTGAACGCGAGGTGCGTGACCGGATCCTCGGCGAACTCCAGGAACGTGGACTCCTGGGCACACAGGTGCCGGCGCCAGCACCTGCTGTGGTCTCTGCACGTCTGAAAGCACCTGAACCTGAGCCGTTTGTCCCTGGAAAACGGGACTTACCTGTGCGAAGATGGCTCTTCCAAATGGAGGAGTACCTTTCCCTATGCCACGTGAACCAAGCCGAATGGGCGCGGCACGCCGGCATGATGCTGCGAGGTGCTGCTGCTACTTGGTGGCAGAGCTGCCACGCTACAATCTCAACCTGGGAAGAATTTTCAGCATCGCTCACCATGAACTTCGAACCTGTCAACGCGATTGAACGCGCTCGTGACAACCTCGCTGCACTACGCCAACACCGCTCCGTAGCCGAATACGTCAACCGCTTCCGGGAGTTGGTGCTGGAGATTCCCGATATCCCTGCCTCCGAGCAGATGGATAAGTTCAAGCGCGGGCTGAAACCAAAAATTCGCACCGAAGTGGAGCTTCGCGGATGTACGTCGATGGATGATATGATCCGCGTGGCGGAACGCTTTGACACGATCAACTTCGCTGCGTTCCAACGCTTCAACGGCATGAGGATGGGTCACACGAATCACGCTCCAGCTGCTCGTGCAAACGGTCCTACACCCATGGAGCTGGGAATGATGGAGAGGCAGCCGCATAATGCCTCAAACGTCATGTGCTACCAATGCGGGAAGATGGGGCACATCAAGCGAAACTGCCCGAATCGTCGCAGCCCGAACGGAGGACGGGGAAACGGACAGCGCCAGTAGCTGTGGGGCAGACCTCTGGCGCATCGCATGCCCCGCTTCTCCCCACCCCATTGTTCATCGGCACCTCTGAACTTTTCACCACATCAAACGCTCCATTCCCCGCCATCGCTACGTTGACTTTCTGCTCGATACCGGCGCTTCAGCAAATTTCCTCTCTCCCGCAATTGCTGCTGAACTTTCTCTCCCCGAAGATCCCAACAGCAACCCACAGGTCGTGATCATGGCAGATGGTACTCAGCGGCGCTGCGGACCTACTCTCCTCCCTGTGCATTGCATGTTTGGAAGCTTGGAGGCGACGGTCACGTTCGAGCAACTGCATCTCGGCGGGTACGAAGGCGTTATCGGTCGACCATGGTTGCACCAGTTTGGACCACGGATTTATTGGCGCAACGGAACTGTCACCGTCGGCAACCACGACCTCCCATCCCACTCCTTCCGCCGACCATGGTCATCCCCAACCAGTTCAGCTTCATCAACCCATCCACCCCAACCTGCCCCATCTCCATCTTCCCATATCCCCCCTCTCCCTCCTCCTCGCATAGCTCCCGCGCAGCAGCCAACACCACCCGGCTCTCCCGAAGTGATCAACACACCTCCTCCTTCTCCACCCCACCCAACCCAGCAGCCACGCCGTTCCATCATCCGCCCCGCCTCTGAAGTTATCAATCCACCAACCCCCACCCCTCCTTCACCACCTCCTCCTCATCATCTCCTAGTCATCTTCACGGCTCCCGAATCTGAAGCATCAGCTACTTCACTGCCACCACCCATACAGAATCTGTTCAACGGCTATACGGACGTATTTCCCGATGATCTACCCGCCGAACTTCCACCCGAGCGTGCTATTGACCATAGCATCCGCCTCATTCCAGGTTCTACACCGCCCGTGCGCCCAACCTATCGCATGAGCACTGCTGAACTTTTGGAGCTACGACGACAACTCGACGACCTTCTTGAGAAGGGTTTCATCCGCCCTAGCACCTCACCATACGCTGCCCCCGTGCTTTTCACTCGCAAGAAGGAAGGTGACCTGCGTCTTTGCATCGACTACCGCGCCCTCAACGCCATCACGATCAAGAACAAGTACCCGCTGCCCCGTGTCGAGGAGTTGTTCGACATGCTTGGGGAAGCAACGGTTTTCAGCAAGCTCGACCTACGATCCGGTTACCACCAGATCCGCCTCGCTGAAGACGACATCAGCAAGACGGCGTTTCGAACCCGCTACGGCCACTTCGAATTTCGAGTTCTTCCCTTCGGCCTCACCAACGCACCAGCCACGTTCATGGGACTTATGAACGACATTTTTCGGCCCTTCCTCGACCGCTTTGTCATCGTGTTCCTCGATGACATCCTCATCTTCAGCAAGTCACTTGAAGAACACGCTCAGCACCTACGCATCGTCCTCGACACTCTCCGCCAACACCGCCTCTACGCCAATCTCTCCAAGTGCACCTTCGCTCGTTCAAGCATCGGCTTTCTTGGCCATGTCATCAGCTCCAAGGGCATTGCTATGGACCCCGCAAAGGTCCAGTGCCTTGCTGATTGGCCAGCACCACGCACGGTAGCGGAGCTGCAAAGTTTCATCGGCCTTGCAAAATATTACAGGAAGTTCATCTTCAACTTCTCCCACATATGTGCTCCGTTGACTGACCTCTTTCGTCAAGGAGCTGCCTTTCAATGGGGACTACCGCAGCAGACCGCTTTCAGCTCGATCAAGGCAGCGCTCACCTCTGTCAAACATTATATATGTTGTGTTAGT